TTGAGCAAGACCATTTGCATAAAATTTTTTGTGGTAATATTTGAAATATCTAAGATAAATTTTTAAGCTCCAAAATGTAGAAATCTTTCCTGCTTTTTTATCAGCCGATGTATCTGACGTGTCTCTACGTTACTAAAATTTCCATTGAAACCTTTTTTTGGTTAAAAATAGGGCTGTTCAGGATCTTGTGAATATGTCTTGCATTTCCATATTAGTTGCATTTGTAAATTCACAACAATAAAATGCACACGGTTGCCATGGCAGCAAGCAAAAAATTTGCACATGCAATTCCAATTGCAAATCCAAGACCATTTCCACAACATCCTGAACAGCCCTAATGTTTTTAAACGTAACGCAAATAAAATATGAACTTTATATCGAATATATTTTTTATTTTGACTTCAGCGCTACCTAGCGGTTGCATTTTTACAAATCTATATCGTACGATGACCTCCCGCTGGAAACGCCCATATGTGTGTCTAGGTATACCTTCGAATTTATATGTAAAGCAATATGAACATATTTTAGACTTTAAAGGTCAGAAATGTGTATTATCTTAGGTGGGCATGTGGCGGGATTTCAACCCGCGCCTTAGGTGATATCAAATAACACACTTAGCTCTACATAAGCAAACTTGTATTAAAGTCAAATGAAGTGGAAATGAGACCAATATTCAGATTTAATTTATTGAATTTGGTATCTATATTTGGAATATCCAGTCTTTCTATTCCGATATTAATGGGTATATTTTTGCAGCTAGAATTTATTTGAGTACTATATCGATACTTTCGGTTCGATATCGTGTCCCTAGGCGTCACGTTTGAGCTACTCAACCTTGACAACTTAATCTAACATAACATTTTATTCAAACTATTGAAGTAAAGATTTCCAATGTCATCCTAATCCGAATCTTGTGGTGTTTTCGTTCCTACCCAAAAATGTCGCCTTTTCATTGTCGCCGCTTTACCTGTTCGATTCGAGCATAAAGGCAAAATGTTATATTACGTTCTCATTGCGCCATAAACTTCAGTTTAACGTTTAGAGTGTATGAACAAGTGTTGGTGAAATTGTGGGGATTCAGAAAATCAGAGTTTAATTTGACATTTTTTTGTTTACTTTTTCTTATTCTCATTTAGCCTGTTCCCGTACTACAGGATTTAACACACACATATTGGTCTAGAATATCAGAGGAATATATTTAGCTGAATTTTTTCTAAGTGCATTAGTTTTAGTTGAATTGTCGAGTATATAAACTTCGTTGGGTTACCCAGGCACTTTTTTCTTTTATTTATTTATTTTTTTTTTGTATTTTTTTAGAAATTTGCTTGCAGCTATGCATATTTTCGACTAGCAGACTAACAAAACAATGCACTGTGGAGGCTCTTCTAGCTCAACTATCCACTTAATTTTCAACATTTTGGGAGAAAAACATACATATTTATGTACGTAATCATAAATTTTCCTCTAAATACCTGTATATTTTTTCTCATCGCCGTTTTGGTTTGGCAACATATTCGCACAAACATTCATACGTACATACATACATAATTGATGTCTANCTTCAGTCGCCAATCGGACGCGTTCAATTAAAGTACGTATAAAGCGCGCAAATGTACAAAATATAAATAAAAAAAAAATTCAATTACTTCTCTTTTGCTTCTTGTGTTCGTCGAGATTTGTAGCTGCAGTGTGAAGATAAAAGTTATTTCAATAAATATTGAGCAATTCAAATTGTATTATTGGAAATGTGAGTTCGCTTAAAGTGGCGACATTTTAAGTATTTATTAATTTTTATATTTCACATTCAATAAATCATAAGTTTATTATCCATTGATAGCCCAGATTTATTGGGGTATGATATGTCGAGTAATCGACTGTCAGTTATGACCTATTGTTTTATCATTAAGATTTAAGGAAAAATAGGAAACGTTACTTCATGATTTTTACGGCACATTTAAAACTGTGATTCGATATGTAATGTGGATTGATTTGAAGATACCCTGAACAGTTCTAATCAATCTGATAACAATTAGCTTCATAAATCCAGCATCCGAAAGAAATTTTGTGATTTAACCTGAACCTTTGGACTTCATAGCGTCCTAAGGCACCCACGTTTAGTAGTTTAGTCTGTAATTTCCGGTAAGAGCATCCGTGATTTCCATTTCTTCATCCAGTAGCTATTTCTGTAAACATCTTCTTAGTGGTTGTACAAAATAGCGGGTGCCACCTTCCTATGCCGCAAAGAGGTTCTGGGCCGATGAAAGACGTTGAAGCTCATTTCTTATGGGTTGTTTCATCTTTTTGCATTTGTTACACATTTATTGATTTAAATTTTTTGCATCAAGCTTTTTTCGACATATATACTTTAAGTTACTTTATCAGATATGTACACGCTAAAGAATTGTTGAATGCGCAGAAATTTAATTACTGTCTTTTGTTTTGTTACTAATAAAATATTTTTCAACTTAAATAAAAAAGTAGGTTTCAAACCCTTTTATTTATTATATATTATATGGTAGGGCAGCTTCTCAAACTTTATTGGTGCAATTTTTTCACCTTAAGTTGTTGAAATATAATGAATATCTAAATCCCCGGGTCTAATCCTGGGATCGCAAAATTCGAAAAAATTAACCAGAGAGTTTTTGGGAGATAATGCTGAAGTGACAGTGCTTGGCTAGGTATAAATCTAGGTTTACGCGTCTTTTTTCGCCGAAGTTTTTTACGCGTCTTTTTACGTCAATGCGTCATATTTCGCCGTCAAAAAAATGGCGCGACAGATGTTTTCTGGATTAATATTCAACTCCACATTGGTCGACAATTGAGTATTTCCTATAGTAGCTACAATGCTGCGATTAGTACAGGTTTATATTCTATATATACGAGTCATACGAGTAAAGCTCACGATGAAGATTATTATCAGCCCTGTTTATTGCCCTTTAGGTCCAGAAGCCCGCAAGTATTCCAAGGTTAGGTACAAAGGGAACCTTTTTGCCATGCCGTAGCATTGGTCGGCTTCTGAGCATATTTCCTTAGCCATTATCTAATTTTGTCTACTTCTTTTTCTTAATTTGTTCGTTTTTTATTCCATACAAATTTATTTATTTATGTAGTTTTTTTTTTTTTAATTTCGGAATAATTTAGTTAGTGCATTCCTCATAAAATCCTCAACGATGGTCAGCCCCGTTCGGAGTCTACTCATATTTACTAACATTCTAAGTTTTTGTTTTTTTTTGTTATTAGGCAATACGCTCGACTTCGGTAGCCGTCTTTCATGCTCTCAATGTAATTTTTATTTGTGTCTACAAAAATAAGCCACACTCTAGATTACACCATGCAACCTAAACGTTCAATTTGCTACATTCAATTACTTAACATTCCAAGCGCATTAAACAAATGTTTATTTAAGACTTCACCTTAGCCCAATTGCAAATTGATTACAACCGACTCCGCGCTGTGGTGAATAAAATTAACAATGGTCAAATCAGAGCTGGAAATTAATGAGCCTCTGTTACATTTAGTATATTTTTGCAATTTGCAAAGTGTAGTAGCTAAACTAGCAACAGCCAAGAAATAAATAAATTATAATGAACTAAATTAACTGTAAACAGTGTATTTGCTTTTGTAATTTTGGCAATTAAAACGCCCACTTGGGACAATAAGTATGCTTACTGACTACCGAATGACAACCGTAGCCCGCCGCTTGTCGCACAACCACAGCAGCGATGTACAGCGATTTTTTTTTTGTGAACCCAAGAAGAGTTTTGTGTGCTGTGTGGAGTCGATAAATGGACACCTTGGGGGCAAAATAGTGCTGAATTCGCTTTTGTGTATTTTTTTTTGCTTCCTTTGTTTCGATCGTTGAAATTGTAGGCTTAAACGTGTTTCAGCAATTTGGAAATAATTAACATTCAACCCGTAATAAAATTTTGGAAATATTGTTGATATAATTTTTTCTTACTGCGAGGGCGAATGACAGACAAAAATAAACTAATAATTGATGCGAGAAACATAGGCGCACCGACATACATACATACATACATACAGGTCTAACAAGTACTGTAATAATAAAATGTATTTGAAATGCATTTGACTCGACCTTGCGTACCTTTTAATTGTTTGTTTTGCTTATTTGTAACCAAATTCAAGTACTTAAATATTTATAGATATAATCACGGCTTTTATTTTCGTTGGCGGAACGGTACTTTAAACATAACCTATAACAAGGCAATATATCGTAAAATAAACTTAAAAAGCTTGTGAGTAAAATCAGATTTTAAAGATGCCGTGCTCTCACCACTTTTTTGGCACTCAATGGCGAGTTTCCTTTGGCGGGAGATGCCTATTATACCACTGAACCCAAACAGTGGAGCAATCCGAACAATGCGTAATGACGCCTTAAGCGATTAATGCCACTGTATGGAGATCTCAAATAGGGAAGAGTGGGCAGAAAGGCATTGATAATTAATTTTAATTTTTCACAGACAGATGGTTAGAATCAGTGCCGAAGTGGGTGGAGTAGTTTTCTCGCGAAACCCCACCCTGAAGTACTCTATTTCTTTGCCATACTATATTTGTGTCTTCCAGGTCTAATTCTCAGCTTCTATGGGGGCTATAAATGAATTTGAAACCGGTGCAGTTGAAGGCTAAGCGAAACTCTCTTAAACTTATTTTGGCAACTGGTCACAGGAATATAGAGGCAACTGCATTGCGAAAGAACTTGCGAAGAGGACATGACCAAGCATATTCTTCCATGAACGGAACGTTTTGACCTACCTTGACCATATATATTCTAACAGGTCACTGTCGTCCTACTCTGGTTCACATGGCCTTATAAAGGGTTTGGAGATAAAATACGTCCCAATACTTTAAGGACGATGCAACTCACATTTTTGTAGCGAAAAGCCTGCTCTAAAAATAAAAATACCATCGCGCAATCGTTGCGTCATCACAGGACAGTAACCAAGAAAGTGGCAATTATATAATCGATCTCGCATCAAGCGACTTTGTGTCTGAAATAAATAGATTTACGTTCACGCAAATGAAATGCATGTATGTATGTAAGCATTTAGTATTTATGTATAAGTATACATATATGTATTCAGATATACGAGCATGGGTACATCCCAGTGAGAAAATAGGGAATGCATTACCTTTTCCACGCAGAGATAAACCGACTACGACTGAGATAGCCGAGTTTTTGCTTACCTAAGCGATCGAAGGGATGCAGTGTAGTTTTTAAGCCCCAACGTAAACATAAAGTTGGAGAACAAATTTAATTATGGATTTTTTCTATGTTATCTCAATAGCCGCTGTAGGCGAATGGTAGCGTATTCGAATATGAACTTGTTGTTCGCGGGTTGAAATCAAATGTTGCATGGACGTATTTAGAAAGTCGAAGGTTCAAGCTTTAAGTTAAGCCTACTTGAAAGTCACATTTTGTTTCTTCGCTAGAGCTTCTCGAACAATGTTAAACACGCGATTTTTTACACTTTGGCCAGGTTTTTTTTTTCAAAATACGGAGCTGATGGATTCGTAATAAGCACAAAAAAGTCGATCAGAAATGGCTCTAACTTTTGCCGCACCAAAATTGTGTTGCCCTGGAGTCACCACTTCTACTCACAGAGACATGCTACTCAATGCAATTGTTTGGTCGTCTCCGTGGCTCACGTGAAGACTTCCCCATCAACTGGAATGACAATTGAACAAAATAACAGTTATTAGAGTTATTAGCATGAAAAATATAGAAGAGGAACTAGTTAGACTTCTACTGAAATTGGTATTAAGCTAGTTAAGGACTAAATGTTTCCCCTACAGGTTATATATAAACGCCAACAAGGAAAAGTAATAATGCATAAATATGTATGTATGTACCCAGCATGTGGAAGTGCGTAAAAACTCGGAATGAGCGGCGCATGGTAGAGCTGGGATACTATCGATAGTACCGCCACTCGATAGTTTTCGAAACGATAGTTGAAAGCATCGATAGTATCGATATTACTATCGTCGTGAGAGGTATTGAATTGAAATGCTAAATTGCTTGAAAATTAAATAATTAATAAATTTATAAAATTTCTAAATTAAAGAGATTATATAAATTTATTAAAGTTTTAGTGCATCAAAAAGAACTCCTTATAATAATAAAATAAACTTATTAATTTATGCGTCTGCATTATATATATTATATATACCTATGTTTGTCCCTTTTAAGGTGCAAAGCAGTGAAATTGGCTATAATAATACATTTCGAATACTACAAAACAAACGAATCAAAATATATTCCTTTAAATTGACAGCGCATACTTATAAAAGTTCAACTGAGATCAAATGCGGAGGCGTATATCAAAATCCGGACAAAGGAAATTATTAACATTTTACCATAATATAAGAAAACGAATAAAGTACTGGTCAAAATATTTAATAGCACCACAACATTTTAGCAGTTTTGACTATTTTTTGTTTGTTTAGTGTCTACTAATTTTATATAAAAGTTGTACAAAACAAACTACAAAATCATTTAAATTTCAAGCTTTTTAATTCGAATTTCTATAAAAATTTTGTGTAAGCGGTTTTATAGCTTATTAAATTTTATTGTAACTCAGTGTAAGCTTATAGTTGCTAAAAATTCCAATAAGTACAAGTTTTTTTTTCGCCGACTGTATTGTGATTTTCTTGGAAAAAATAATTAATGTAATGTTAAGAGATGTAAAGAGAGAAGTTTCGCTAAAACCGACATCGATAGCTTTCAAA